TATATATGGATTTACCACTAAGGGTAATCTTACCTAACAGTGAGGGGAAGGTTTGTCGTCTAAGAAAATCTCTTTATGGGCTTAAACAGTCCCCTAGAGCTTGGTTTGATAGATTCAGGAAGGCTACTCTCATAATTGGGTTTACACAACCACAAGCGGACCATACTTTGTTTATAAGGGTTAATGGCCTACTACCTTATTGATAGTGTATGTGGATGATATTGTTGTCACTAAAGATGATCACTCTGGGATAAACCAACTAAACTCATTCATTGCTTCTGAATTTAAAACCAAAGATCTTGGGAATCTCAGATACTTTCTTGGAATTGAAGTGGCAAGGTCAAAGGGAGGGATATTCATTTCACAAAGAAAATATGTCCTTGATCTCCTTCATGAGGAGGGAAAACTAGGGTGTAAGCCAGTTGAAATTCCTATTGACCCCAATCATAAACTAAGTGCTGATGATGGAGGTATTCTTCCAAACAAGGTGTCAATCATAGGCATGGTTGACTTCTTTACTTGTGCCTGACTTGACCAGATATATGCACAGTCCTAGAACTTCACATATGCAAGATGTCAACAGGATTCTTGCCTACCCAAAGGGGTGTCCAGGTAAAGGAATGTTACACTCTAACCAGGGACATCTCAAGGTCGAGACTTATACTGATACTAATTGGACAAGTTCTATAGATGATAGAAGATCCACCTCTGATTACTATACCTTGGTAGGAGGTAATGTTGTGTTTTGGAAAAGCAAAAAACAATCAGTTGTTGCCCGATCTAGTGCTAAAGCCAAATATAGAGCTATGGCTCATGATGTATCAAAGTTGCTATGGTTGAAGTCTTTGTTATCAAAGATTAGGATCCAAGCTGAAACCCCAATGATGCTACACTTCGATAATCAAGCTACCATAAACATTGCTCATAACCCTGTTCAACATGATCGCACAAAGCATATTGAAGTCGACAGACACTTCATTAGACAAAAGATGGCCAATGGAGAAATATGTGTGCCTTTTGTTAGGTCAAAGAACCAACTTGCTGATTGCCTCACTAAGGGTCTCAACAAGCCAAAACTTGATAGAAATTTAAGCAAGCTGGGCACGATAGATATCTATGCTCAGCTTGAGGGGGAGCGTTGAGAATGTGCATTTGGATTAGGAGTATTGTTGTCTTTTTCTATTATTTGTATTTTGGGCACCCTTATAGGGACATAACTATAATTTCTGGCTAAACATATAATGAAATGTTCTGAGTGTGAACTAAAACACCCATTCTCACTCGACAACTATTTCCTTCCTTCCCATAGTGTCCAAATTGTTGCTGCCCTAGCTGCTTTAATTCTTGCCTTTTCCTTCCTCTATTTTTTTTCCTTAGGTTGTGTTTGGTTGCAATTCAATTTTACTTTATTCTGCTTCATGCCTTAACTTACTTCATTTGTACTGCAATCAGACAAAATAAGCTAAAATTTGAAACAAAAATAGGTCAGAATTTACACTCAAATAATTTGCACTGCCATGGTTTTGCATCAGTGCAAATTTATTTGCATTGCAACCAAATACAGCCTTAGGCTCAGTTTGAAAAGAGTACAAATACAAATATGTAGACTGCAAAACCTTCTATTTTGTATTATTTTGGGTATATTTGCACTATACATATTTGTATTTGTACTCTTTCCAAAACGAACCTTAATTCCAATTCCGTAAAGACTCTTCTTGTTGCCTCTTCACCCAACACCTTGCCAACATCTATTTCTCTTTCAATATCCTTTCCAGCATCAACCTTCCTACTAACATTGCATACTCCATAAATTAATTCCTCCTAATCTTTATTTGCCTTCTACTCCCCCCTCTTCATCCTACCTACTCCCATATTGTTGTTATAAATGTCCAAGCAATGATCACCTCCAATGACCACTAACCTTTAGATTTTCATTGAATATACTTGATAAACCAATCCTTTCCCTCTTGCCACTTCTACCCTACAGTTTCTCTCTTCCAAATTTAACCCCTATATGGTATCACTTACTTTAAGTACTTATTTGAACAATATTTAAAATAAGTGATGGGACCACACAATAACTGGCAAATAAGCACTAATTCACATTTGGCATAAAAGGAGTGGATAAGTGCTTATTTTCAAAATAAGTACTTAAAAGAAAAAGCAACCTAGGGGCTGCTTAGTTTAAGAACTTATTCAATAAAAACTTGATCCCCATCATTATTTTGAAATCCTGTAGTGTCCCCAATACAAAGAAGATGATAGGATATCGTCTTCTCTATTTGAGCTCCAACATGAACCAGCAGCGGCAACAGGTGACTCCAAGCTGAGAAATCATTCCAGGTATGTGAATCTCCCCTCTTTTTCTCCATTTTTTTCTTCCAGTTTGGGCAACTCTTCATGGCTGTAATTGTCATTTTCCACAAATATAAGTATTCATTGGTTAAGCAGCTCACCAAACACTATAACCCAAATAAGTACTTAAAATAAGTGTAAGTGGTTTGGGAAAGGACCTCCCAAACACTAATAAGTACTCATTTCTCAAAGCACTTATTCGCCAAACATAGCCTTAGTGCTTTGAGTAAGCATCCAAATCCCTCATGGACACTTTTACTCATCAATGAGTTGCATTAGCTAAACTTGCCTGAACATTCAAAGCTTCTCATTGTAGGGGAGAAAACCTCTACTCTTATCACCTTGTCAAGTATAAGCAGATGCCTAGACACCTATAGATTCTCCAAACTTTGTTTCTTGAGATCTCGCCACTGCTCAGTTTATTTTTCCATCTAAAATGTCACTTCTATGTCTTCTGTGCTGCCTTCACTTTGAACTTCTTCTCATTATCCTCGTCACTTTCATCTACTTCAATCCATTTTTCTTTTTTTTTGTAATGGGCCCTGTCTTAGTCCATTTAACTGAACCCCATTTTTACCATTTACTCCACAACCAATATTAACTTCTTTGTCAATACAAATTCTTCAAGATTCCCATAGCTGTAAGTTCTGTTCAAATTCCACCAACCATTCTTCTCCAATTTACTAATGCAATCCAAATATCCTTCGCACAAATTAATTCCTATGTCCCTGTCCACTGTCATTTTTCCATTTATAACCCTAGAATCTTCATGTTATCATTCTTTTTCTCTCAATGATCCATCTTCCCCCTTTCTGCAACAACACTATCCTCCCTCGACAATTCTTTTGAATCACCAAAGAGAAAGTAAGAGATGGAGAACTGCTACAGAATTGTCAAATTTTCTGAAAATCAATATCAGTTGGGAGAAAGGTAAAGCATAAGAAAGACAAGATGCTATGGGAAGGATTTTTTTTAAGATAAATAAAGAAAAATTTTATTACTAAAAAGAGTTTTACAGCTCGTAGTGTGACAAGAGGTCACCCCCAGAAACAACCAGAAGAAACAAAAACAAAACAGGCTTAAAAGAAAAATACATCAGAAACCCAGAAAATTAACCATACAAAGAGCTCCAGAAGTCTGCCCGAAAATCTTCATTCTTTAATCCCAGGAAATCTGGCAGAATTAAAACCCAACCTATGACTGATGAACCGATTCAAACCACCACCTCTTATGGGAAGTTGTATGCATAGTTCCCTTTGACTCTTGTAAGTATCAAACATAACAAATCTTTGTACTCATTTGGGAGGTCTAAAACATAGCTCTCTTTATGAGGGATTTCCATTTTGAATTATTCCTATAACCAATTGAAGTTTTAGTTCTTGTTACAAGTTTGAGCATACCACATTTAACCAATACATTATCATCAAACAAATCAAAGTGAGTTGGGTGAAAGTGAGAGTATAAGCATACTAAGATGACCATGGGAAGTTGTATCGGTGCTTTAAACCATGCACCTTTTTTTAGTTTTTTTTTTTTTCAAAACTTCATTTTTATATATATTTTTATATCATTTAATAAATAAAACAAAAGGCTTCATGAAAACACCTTTAAATATGTGTATCGGAGCCCTGCCAATATGATACGATATGCCCGAGATGGGGCGTAACGTATTGATACTTTGAATATCGGGCGTGTCATATCGATACTTTGAGCCTTGACTAAAATGACAATCCACTATATTTCTCAGGGAAGTCCAAGTTAGAGCTCTCTTCGCTAGGGAATTCCATTTTGATTTGGGACATTAAACCTTCAAGACTTTTAGTCCTTGTAGCAAATTTGAGCATAATGCATAGATTTAGGATTCTTAAACCAAATACTAGCTAAGAGAACCATAGGCTTATTGATTTTATAGACATGGAAAGCATTCATCAGCACCTCTGAATTGGTTTTTCCATTGTTTCTATAAAAGAAAAACACTTCTATATTTTGATTGAAATACCATCATAGCAAATAATTGGTTTTGTTTGATTTATTGGTATTTATCCCACATAACATGCTTGATTAACAAGAAATTTCAAAAAACCTTCTAAAAAATAATTAAAATTAAGAAATTGCATATTGAAACCACATCCATTCTGAACATGCCAGGATCGAGCCATTATGAAAATGGGTCATATGAACACTCAAATGATTTGCAAGGACTTGGTGTTTCTATCAAAAACTAAAACATTGGATAATAATCAGTTAGAATTAGATGTACAGTATCAACCAAAAAAATAAACTGACTGATTAAATTGAAAAAAAAAATGAAACATCAGACATGACCTAACACAGGGGCAGGATCCATCCAATGGTCAAACCTAGATCTCATAGGAAAAAGATTTGAATTGATTAGATCTTCCCACTATCCAATGGTCCAAACACTCTTTTAACCAAACATGTAACTCTAAATTTCATAGACTTTTTGATCTGAAGGGCCATCAAAAAGTGGACAAGACCACCTGCATGATCTGCACTCTGCAGAACATATATCCATATTCAATTGATAAACAGATAGGTTACACTACACTTTCTCATATCATGCACATGGTGTTTGTTGATAGTATCAGCAACCCATGAAATCACCAGTTCAAATGATAACTCACCGTCATCCACCTACAACGCAATGCCACATCCCGAACTGTCTTATCTTGTAATTGCATAGCAATCTTTGCATACCTGACTATGATAGATTCAGAAGCATATCTGCAATGTACATTGTGTCACAATATCTGTTAAATCTGCACAGACTCAATAGGAATCCAAAGACATGGATAGAGATATGAGTTAAAACTACCTAGAATATATTTTCACCACCCAAACCCCAGTTTCTCAAACATTAAATAGAAAAGTGGAAAAAAATCCACCCTTTATTTTTTAGATAAGAATTACTGTAAGCAAATGTGAATGCTTAAATGGATGAGTAGTAAAACTAGGAAGGACAGGGTTAGAAATGGAGTTATACTGTCATACACTCGGAACCCAGGAGCAGCTCCAATAGGTGATAAAATGAGAGAAAGTAGAATGAGATGGATTGGTTACATGCAAAGAAGACCATCTACAGCAACTGTTAAAAAAATTGAACTATTACAAGTTCAAGGGGCTAAAAGAACTAGAGGCAGACCAAAATGGACTTGGGTGAAAGTAATAAGAAATTATTTAAGCACAATAATGGATACAGCACTGAATAGAATGGAATGGTGAAACAGGGTTCAAGTAGCCAACCTCATAAAGATAGGACAAGGCTTAGATGACAATGATGGTGAAGGAAAAAAATGAATAGGAAGTTAAAAGAGTCATTTCTTTATCCTAAATTCAAGATTTTATATATAGCTGCAAAATCCAAGGAAAGAAGAAGAAACAGTCCCAACCATAGGAATGGAATAGAATCAACTAAGCTGAGCCATAGTTGTCAAGGCATTCACTTAGGTAGGTGAGAAGGCAGTTTTGGAGAGCACCTATCAGAATACTTCTGTGCACCTGTAGCATTTGTACTCATTTTAAGGATACGATGATTTAGGATAAGGATCTTAACAATAAAAATTTAGAATATCTCCAATGTAACTTGAAACACAAACATTTAGTCAAGAAATGTCAAACTAGGAAAGATGGAACCGTAGTCTGTAGTGAACTTTATTCACGTCATCCAAGTAACAGAGAGGACATGTTGGTATAATTATTACTTCATTAGGCTCAGTTTGGAAGAAGTACAAAAAATATGTAGAGTGCAAAACCATACATTTTCTATTATTTTGTATGTATTTGTACCCTACATATTTGCATTTGCACTCCTTCCAAACAGAGCCTTAGGGCCTTCTCACATTCGTGTACCTTAAAGTACCATAAACTCTTATTAAGCACCATAAGTAGAGGTTATCTTCTTCGTTTCTGAGGGATTAGACCAAAACAACAGCAAAGACAAATACATCTGGAAAAGAGAAGGTACAATTAACAGCTATAATTGCAGAGAACTACTCATAAAATATAGCATCCAAATTTAGTAAGATTTTTCCAAAAAGACACTAGATACAAGCAGGTAATATAAACCCAACAGAAAGTGCATGAAAACTACAAATAACAGCAACACTGAAATGAAAAATAAATAAATAAATACTTAACAACGTGACTAGAAAGAAAAGAAATTGAGAAGGTAACTAAAAAGTATGGTTACCTAAATGGCTGAAAACCAGAAAGAAAGCATGAATTCAACCAAGCTTAAAAAAAGGAAAAAAGAAAAGAAAATAATTCAAAGAGAACAATTCAACGAAAAAGAAACAGAGAACAAAATTCTAAGCAACCTCGAAAGAAAGAACTCGCAATTCCTCTAAAATAGCCAGAACCCAAACATGCACAGATCAAGAAAAGCAACAAAAATCACTCACTTGGAAAGCCCTTCGTCCAAGATCGACTGCTCCTCCGCCGTCCACTCTGAGGACAGACCTGGGTTGTGCTTCAAAGCATTGGCCGGAGCCGAATTCTCCGGCACCGCCCCGGAATTACCGTTACTAGGGTTTCCACCACCTCCACCAGGAGCTGCGACGCCATTGAAGGAAGTTGCAGCATGGCTCCCCTCCTGATTCCCAGATGGGTTCGCACTTGCAGCCATCAGCAAGCAAAATCCAACCCCAAGAACCTCAGTCTGTACCGTTGTTTCCCGCCAATTGGGTCATTCCCGCCATTAAAATAATCAAAATCTTAAACCCAAAAGGAGCACCAGAACCAAAAGGCAACCAGAAAGAAGCAGTTGGAAGCTTTTGAGATACTTGTACGCGACTGAAGGGAGCTCCAAGTCTGAGAGACAACGAGAAGATTTACAATCATTGAAAAAGCAATAAAGAATTTATAGATGGATAGAAAGAGAGAGAGCAAAATCTGTACGGATATGAGGTGTAACACGTCTCTCTCCAAAGGTCCGAATTTGTAAAATCTTATTTTAATTTCGTTGTTGAGTCGTGTCTTTCTCTCTCTCTCTCTGCAACTTCGTCCGTTGTTCTGCTCTTTCCGGATATATATACACAGTCACCAGAGCTTTTCATCGAGTTGGAATTGCATGTGAATGGAATTACCATCTTGACCCTACAAAATCCAGTATATGATCAGAGTCTCTTCCGATTTTTGTATGTCGCGCGACTCGCGACCCAAAATGGAAATATTTATATTCGGATTTGCAAGGTGTGTCGTGACTCGAACGAGTCCTCCGAGTTGCCGTGTCGAGCATCTAATACTAGTAGAGAAGTGACTCGGTTGGTGTAGTGGTGGAATAGTTGCAGGGCCCACATCTCTAACTTTAAGACCTGACTAGCTAGTTGGTATAACAAACTAGTTGCTGGGCCCACCAAGGAGATCTCCATGACCTGACAAAAAAAGGCTTCCCACCGTTGTAAGCTTTAATGTTCCTAAAGTACGTTCTGTGATCATAATGAGCTGACAACCGTTGGATCAGAATCAACATGGTTCCAAATAAAGCCAGCTCTTTATTTCAACCGTTCAGATTTTGATCCGATGGTTCAAAATGTTCTCTAAGAATTATAAAAAATAAAAATAAAAATTGCTCCTGCTCGATAGTATATCGAAAAGATAGATTCGGTATCACATGATTTGCACAGAAGTGGTGTACGAGTGTTATATCCATCGTAGTAAGTGGGAATGACAATTTCCACAAGAGGGGCAAGTCAGACCGGATTAGGTCGGGTTGAGGTCAACCCTAACCCAATCCGAGTTGTTGATCCCCAACCCTAAAATTTTGAATTGGGTTCAGATGGGACTCGGGTAGGTTCTGGGTAGGGGTGTCAATTGGATCGGATATTGTCCAATCTGATCTGTTCCAATATGAATTCATTATAGATGATGGACCAGGTCCAATTAATTCCAATGAATACTCTGGACTAATCCAATTCAATGTCTCGACCATTCAATATATTTAAATTGGCTTTAATTTAGATTGGTTATTTAGCTCCAACCCAAACTTTGTCCATTGGCACTTGTATTTTTATCTTCTACTAATGGATCGGACATTGGTTCAATCTGATCCAATCCAATATGAACCCATTATAGATGGCCATGGGCCATGTCCAATCGAATCCAAGAAGTTCTTTAGACCATTAAGTCAGGACTGGTCCAATTTAGTATGCCTTATTGGTCTGTCCAATCAATCCAAAGTGATTTTGATTTGGATTAATTTGGATGAGGTCCAACCAAAACCAGTCCATTGACACCCCTAGTCTTGAGTTGGTTCCATTTCTTTACTTCTTTTTGTCAAATGTACTTATTTCTTAGATTATAGGGTTCATGTTAATTCACTATTAGCATTATTGTGCATGAAAGAGCAACGGTTATCATGTCTTAAAAAAAAATGCCTTTAAACTATGAGGGTGTGGAACTTTCTTTTTTACTAAACAACCCCTATTTTTTAATTTAGTTCCTCTTTAATTCTGAGGGCTAATAAATTAATTTCCTTTACAAATTTTCACCTTATTTAATTTCCTCTCATTAAGCCTTATATTTAAGGAATTAATTCACATTCTCTCACATTAAATTTTGTATCTAAGGTATTTATTATTTAATAAATTATAATAATTAGATCTTTATCAAGTACTTTTTAACAATATGAAACCCATGTTTTTTAAAGGGTAAAATGCTACAACCTCCCGTAAAAGTTTTTGACCATTGCTGAAACTTCCCCTGAAGTTTGGTAATTACAATCACATCCCCTAAACTTTTTAACAAAGTTGCAACTTGTAAGTAGGCCCCTTCTCTTATAATCATCTAACAAAAGGCAAGAAAATGTCAAAAATAATCATATAGTTACTTTGACTAAAATGTTTATTTTCCAAACTATCCCTTCATATCAATAACCTCTTTTCCGAAATTGATTTATTTTATAATTTTTTCCCTTCATATGAATCCCTTAAAGGTAAAATTGCTATTTTAAACTTTCTTTTTTTATTGTCCAAAGTTTGCATTATGTTATGCATAAACCAGCCTCAATGGTAACTACATGGGTATTTTAGACATTTATTGTGTGCCTCTTGTTAGAGGATTCTAAGAGAGGCGTCTATTTGCAATTGTATAAGAAAGTTCAAGGGAGGCAATTGCAATTACCAAACTTCAAGGGAGATTTCAACAATGGTCAAAAACTTCAAGGTAGGTTTCAACAATGTTTCCTTTTCTGAAATTAACCAAAAAAATGAAATCGCTCTTCCATCCAAGTGGTTGATAAGCCAATTCAACCATCTGGGGTCAATTGGGTGTTTAAATTAACCATAATAAACAAAAATAAGTGTCATAAACAATAATTGTTTATATTGATAATGGAAATGAAACACAAATTTTAAAATCAATACTTTTAACAATAAATCTTATTTTTTCAAAATTTAACAAAAAAAAAATTTGTCCTTTTGTCTAGGTGGTGGATAAGAAATTCAACCATTTGGATCAAATGGGTCAAGCCATGATGTCATAATTAAATAATAAAAATTTAAGAAAGACAAAAACAAAAAAATACATAATATTTGTAGAAAACATTTAGGACATCTCTAATATATAATTATTTTATATACATAGAAATATGCTTATTGGTCCATAAGGTTCAAAGTATACGTATTGGGATATGGATGCGTATCACAATATGCTTTAGATATGCATGGATATAGTGGAAAGATGTGGATATGCTTGGATACATTAGAAAAAATCTTATGAATCCCACTTCAATAATAATAAATGTAAAGTTGGAATAACTATGAATAAAGTATAAACACATAAGAAATGCAAACTTTAATAGTTTATACGAAGAGATGCATTACAATCAACAATACCACGAGTCTAAAACATGTCCATATCATACAATAGATTTACTAATTACACGTTAAACAATGTTTGAGCTTCCAATTTATTAAAAGTTCACTACAAGACTCATCAAATCATTGGATCAATGAGTCTTGATATATCATTAATAAATCCATCTTGTAGTTCTTCCTTACCATGAAAAATCATTTGGGATATATAAAATGAATGGTTTTCAACTATAACTTTTACTAAAAATTAAGAAAAAATCATGTTTGGCATATAAATTGATAGGTCCATTTGTAGTTCTTTCTACGATGAAAATCATTTAAAACATATAGAAAATCATTTATAATTACTTTTTGTATTTTGTTACATGTTGTTGGGGGAGCCAAGATAAACTACCGAAAGAATCAACAATTTTTTACTTATATAGGTGGTTATGAATCTATGGCAGCAATCTTAGACCATCACTATTGGTCCATGATGGTTGGCATAGGTCATATATTTTTCTACCCATGCCATGAGCTATATACTCACACATTTGAATATGGATATGATACACCCCATATTGGGCATGTCATATTGATATTTTAAGCCCTAATTAAAAGAATTGGATATAAACCCAATTGATAGAATTTATTGGTGAGAAAAATTTAGTTTAAATATAGGATTTAATGAGAGGGAATGGGAATTAATACTTGAAATATAAGACTTAAAGAGAAAGAATTGAATGAGGTGAATTAGTAATTCAAATTACATTTTCTGCCCTTACAATTAAAGAGGGACCAAATTCAAAATTTTCATCAAGAATTGGATTTAACGAAAGATAAAGGGAGTTAATACATTAAATATAAAACTTAATAAGAGAGAATTGAATGAGGAGAAAAGTAGTAGTTCAAATTATATTTTTATCCTCATAATTAGAGAGGGACCAAATTAAAAATAAGGGTATTATAGTAAAACAAAAGTGTTGCGCTCTTTTTTGTACTTTTAGTAGTAGTAAAAATATAGATATAGATTTATAGAAATAACAACTTAAAACTTGATTTTTTTAATCACCTTAATAAAAAGAATAGTTAAATAGTAAGTTATTTAGATGTTAATAAATCTAGTGCTTTTAACCAAGATTTTCTTGTATATTATCTATAAAATTTACCCATTAAGACACAAAATATAATAAAAATTATAAGGAAACATTTATATGTTATTAACAAAATAATTAGCTCATATTTGAATTTATTTTGAACAAGCAAGAACCAAAACCAACCCAATTATTAATCGAGACAAAAATATACAACCAAAACCAATATAACCGATTTGGTTCGATTCGACTAATTAAGCAGAACTAACCCATTGATAGCCCTTGGCAATAGGGTGGGCAAGGACAGGGAGCCACTCCTCATCCCTGTCCCCACTAGCAGGGACAAGGTTATCCCCATCCCTGTGGGGATTACCACTCCTTGTGATATTTTTATGATGTCAATCATTTTGTTTTTATTTTTTATTTCATTTAAAATTAAGAAATAAAATACTCAAAAGTTCTAATCCTATTAAAAAAGATCCAAATATATTCAAACATACCCAACTATATTTTTAAAAATATTAATAGACATGCATATATATATAGATCCCGCCAATAGGGATGAAAATTTCCCCGTCGCTACTCAGGGGGGGGGGGGGGGGGTCATCCCCATCCTTGCCCCATTGGGGGCAAGTCCCACAGAAATTAAGGAAATGGGGAAAATTGCCATGCCTAATGTATCATGCATTTCTACTACAAAAAAAAAAGCATTCCTGTTGGAGCTTTTGTGCATTAGTAGGGTGTGGTGTATGGTAATCATCATTTCTAGCCCAACCTACCCCACAAATTTCCAAGTTTAGGCCTAGGCCCAATGTTTCAAGCCAAACCCACAATATTTTGCCCTAGGCTATATTATGCTGTTTTTGAATCCATGGGACCAGGAATTACAGATTAATTAGGTGCTCAAATGCATGAAGCTGGGGGAGACGTATGGGTAAAGTAGTGTGACTTAGTTACTTATAAAGAGACTTGGATGCCAATATGTTAGTGCTGAACAAGTCTATGTCTTGGTTAGTTAGTAGCGGTGACTGGTGAGAGAATCATGGTTGGTCACGTATGAATAGGGATGTTGTATGGGGTTATGGGAGGATGTATAAAGTTAAGAGTCTTATTAATA